ACGAGGGAGGGGGACTTGATTGGGGGAGGGGGAGGGAAATGGGAGGCGGTGGCGGGGAGGAGGCAGAAATCTTTAATAAATAAATAAATTAAAAAAAAAGAAAAAGAAAATCCTACCCGTGTAGAACCCATGTTTATGGGCTTAAGAAAAAAAAATCACATTTTCTGTCAAAACATGCTGAAGAAACATTTGCTAAGCTTCAATGTTGCTCTCAATAAAAGCAATCACACAGAATCTCTCCCCAGAAACCCTCTGTCCAAGCTGGCCAGGGAATCAGGCAGGTGAGATTCACTCTCCTTCTCATCTTCCAAATTCCAATTTTCCAGTCTCAAACCCAGCTTGGGTAGACCACCTGATGTGTGCTCTCCTTCTTCTCTGACCTCACTCCTAGGGGACTAAGCTAATCCTCTCTAACAGCCTCCCTTCCTTACCCTGGCCAATTTCTAAGAGACACCCTCCCTCCCTTCCTCCCTCCCTCCCTCCCTCCCCCACTCCATCCCTCCCCCACTCCCTCCCTCCCTCCCTCCCCCACTCCCTCTCCCTCTCTCTGGAAACCCTCTGACCAAGGTGACCAGGGAATCAGGTAGGCAATCTTTATTCTTCTTTTCATCCTCTAGTTCCAATTCCGAGTCTCACTCCTAGTCCTGCGGCAGGCCATCAGCAGGTGCCTGTCTTTCCCTTCTTTTTCCATTCCCTGTGGACTCCACAGATCATGTGGCAGACCGAGCTTCCCTTCTAGCCCATCGCCATTCCTGTGTGTCAGCTCCCAATACCTAGAAACAAGTTCTGCTGGGATCCCTCAGTGGTCACACCTGGTAAGGCCTCAGAAGCACTCCTCACCAGGTAAATAGAGGCACCACACTCTCTTGAGTTCTAGAAAGGGCAAAGAAACCAAGAAGCAGAAAACCCACCTAACAAAGACAAGACTAGATAGCAGCACCTAGAACTACAATCAATCCAAACCCTGATATCAGTCTAAATACTAGCTAAAGACACAATCAATAACAGCCAGGACAATATGTATTCACAAGAACAAAGCAAGCCTACCACAGTTGGCCCTGAGAAATGAAACATAGCTGAATCACAAGACAAGGACTTCGAAATCACTATTATGAGCTTATTAAAGAGCTTAAAAGGTGATATGGATGAATCCATTAAAGAAATCTATGAAAACACAAACAGTGGAATGAAATGAAGAAAACTGTTCAAGACATGACAGTGGCCGGGCGGTGGTGGCGCACGCCTTTAATCCCAGCACTCGGGAGGCAGAGGCAGGCGGATCTCTGTGAGTTCGAGACCAGCCTGGTCTACAAGAGCTAGTTCCAGGACAGGCTCCAAAACCACAGAGAAACCCTGTCTCGAAAAACCAAAAAAAAAAAAAAAAAAAAGACATGACAGTGGAAATAGAATCAATAAAGAAAACCCAAACTGAGGGAAAACTGGAAGTTAGGAACTTTTAATGGCTATTCTCGATTGTCAACATGACTATATCTGATATAAACCATAATCCAGAAATGGAGGGCACACCTATGAGAGATATTCTGCTTGGTTTGAAGTGAGTGAATCCACTTCTAGTCTGGACCTTTGAGGTGAAAAGACACACCTCTGATCTGGATCTTGAGGCAGAAGACACACCTTTAATCTGGGCCACACCTTCTGCTGGAAGCCTGTATGAGGACATGGAAAAAGGAGGCTTTTGCTCTTTGCCTGCTTGCCCTCGACTTGCTAGCACATCCATTCATGCACTGGCATGGGAACATAGTTCTTTGGGATTCCAGCATATACAGAAGACAAGCTCAGACATCCAGCCCTGTGGGACCAAACAGCTACTAGATTCTTGGACTCTCCATTCACAGCTAGCCATTGTTGGACCAGTTGGACTGCAGCTTACAAGTCATTACCATAAATTCCATATACATATGGAGAGAGATTCATTCCATAAGTTCTGCGACTCTAGAGAACCCTGCCTAATACAGAACTCAATCAGAACATCAGAGGCAGGCCTCACCAATAATACAAGAGATTTAAAAAAGGAAATCTCGGGCATTGAAGGTGATAGAAGAAATGGATTCTTCTGCCAAACCCAAAATGTTAAATCTAAAAGACTCCTGGCACAAAACATCCAGGAAAATTGAAACACTAGGGAAAGACCAAATCTACAAATAATAGGAATGGAAGAAAGATAAGAAATATATGTCAAAGGCACAGAAAATATTCTCAACAAAATCATTTTTTTAAAAAAAAAAAACTTCTGTAACCTAAAGGAGGTGCCTATGAAGATACAAGAAGCATACTTAATGCCAAATGGACTAGACCAGAAAATAAATTCCCCACAACACACAATAATCAAAACACTAAACATACAGAACAAAGAAAGAATGTTAAAAGCTGAAAGGGAAGAAGACCAAGTAATATATAAGGCAGACATATTAGAAGAATACTTGACTTTTCAATGGAGACTCTAAATGCCAGAAGTGGCCTCTAGTCTAGTTCTATAGACTAGAGGCCACATATGCTAGCCCAAACTACTATACCCAGCAAAACTTCATTCATAGTAGATGGAGAAAGAAAGACATTCCACGATAAAAACCAAATTTAAGTAGTATTCATCTACAAATCTAGCTCTACAGATAGCACAAAATGAAAACGTCAACCACATCCAAGAAAACTCAAGGAATAAATAATATCAGACCGGCAAATTAAAAGAGAGGGAAAACCCACACCACCAAAATACAGTAAGAGAAATCAATAAAGAGTACTCATTGACAACTCTCAACATCGATGGGTTCAATTCCCCAATAAAAAGATACGGACTAACAGATTAGATTTAAAAAAAAAAAAAAAGGATCCATCCTTCTGCTGCATCCATGAAACATACTGTGATGGTTTGAAAAAAATGGCCACCATAGGCTCACAGGGAGTGGCACTATTAGGGGGTGTGGTCTTCCTAGAGTGGGTGTGGCTTTGTTGGAGGAAGTGTGTTACTAGAGGCAGACTTTGAGGTCTCAGATGCTCAAGTCAAGCCCAGTGTGGCCTATTTCTTCCTGCGGCCTGCAGATCCAGATCTCAGCTCTTTCTCCAGCACCATATCTACCTGTACACCGCTATGCCTCCCCCCATGATGACAATGGACCAAACCTCTAAAACTGTAACCCAGCCCCAATTAAATGTTTTCCTTTATAAGAGTTACCATGGTCATGGTGTCTCTTCACAGTAATACAAACCCTACCACCAAGGATAAACATCACCTCAGAGTAAAAGGTTGGGAAAAGATAGTCCAAGCAAACAGACTAAAGAAACAAACTGATGTAACCATTTTTCATATCTGAAAAAAAAAATAGATTTCAAACCAAAACTAATCTAAAGAGACAGGGAAGAAGTCTAAATACTCATCAAAGGAAAACTCCACCAAGAGGCTATTGCAGTTCTCGACATTATACACCAAATGCAAGGGCATCCATGTTTATAAAATAAACATTGCTACAGCTAAAATCATGTGCCCCTCACATGGTGATAGGGAGTAACTTCAATACCCCACTCTTGCCAATAAACAGGTCATCCAAACAAAAACTAAACAGAGAAACAATGGAGCTCAATGATGCCATAAATCAAATGGACCTGACAGATATTTTTAGATCATTTCACCCAGACACAAAAGAAGATACCTTCTTCTCAGCACCTCACGGAACTGTCTCCAGAACTGACCACATAGCCACAAAACAAGTCTCAACAGATATAAGGAAATTGAGAAAACACCCAGCATTCTATGTGACCCCTACAGATTAAAGCTGAATATGAGAAATAACAGAAAGCTTGCAAATTCGTGGAAACTCAACAACACACTATTGAATAAAAAATGGGTCAAATCAGATATTAATATGTGTTTTCTCAGAGAAGGTGTATGTTTAAAAGAAAAAATAACCTTCACAGAAGACAAGCAAAGAAGTCGCTATACCCACTATGTTACATACTTGGGGCCGTGGCTGCCCCATAGAGACAGGTGCTTTAAACATGCTAAGGGCTCTGTGTGGGGACATCTCAGTTCAGGTCCCTGAATCACACCAGGTGACCCCTGCCCTCCTCTGTCTCCACAATCCAGCCAAACACTGCTCTCATTCCTATCCACCCATCACGCATCTAATTCTGTTAAGTAATTCTACCTTACCTTCCGTTTTCACTGGAGAAGAGGTTTTAAAACAACAGTCTTGGCATTTGTTCAACGGTTAAGTTGATTAAATTGCACTTACTGAACTTGGCAATTATTGGACTGTGCCCAGGGTCGAGTCAAATACACTTATTGATTGGCAGATGGACAAGTCAGACAAACCCACAGAATTACTCAGGCAGAATTGGCCTACCACCTTGGCGTCAGGAGGCTGTACCTCTCTGACCAGAAAAACATGAGGCTAATTAATGGGGGTTGCCTGCTGCCCGGGACACTTTCTAACCTACAGAAAAGCCTGGGAGTGGGGAGTTCCAGTTTGGGAATTAATTGGGATAAATATGGAAAATCCAGTAGACTTTAACTTTCATGTTCACTGAGAATATTGTAGAAAGGAATAGTGCTGTTGTTATTGCTGTACTGTATGTGTGCGTGTGTGTGGGTGTTTGCACTTATGTGTACAGGTGCCTTTGGAGGTCAGAAGAGCACTAGATTCCCCAAGGCTGGTGTTAGAGGGGGTTGTGAACCCCCAAATGTGGGTGCTGGGAACCAAACTTAGGTCCTCTGCAAGGGCAGTGGTACTCGAAACCACTGAGCCATCATCCCGGGCCACATTTCTTTATCTTAAAAGGCATGGTGGGTGACCAAAGCTTTTATCCTGGGCTATGATTATTTTCCAAGTTTTATAACTCGCACAGATCACTACCACTTTTCACATAAGTCTCCTGTCCCTGGCAGGCACATGCAGATAGAGGAGGCAGTGTGGATACAGTCCTGTGCAAGGTCTAGTAAATAGACGTGGTTAAAGGTAGTCATGATACCATTGGAAGGTGCTCACCGTGCCTTCCGGGTCCACCAGCAGCAGGTGCTTGGCCTGGCCATTGTGCATGCCCGTGAGGACAAAGGAACCAGGGTTGGTAGTACTCTTTCTGACTAGGAAGTCTCCATCTTCCTGCAACAGTGCCTCTGCCTCCTTCCTGCTCATCTCTCCTTGGTACCAGGGTTCTGCATCAAGCTCCTCCAGCATCTTGGCATCTGGGGCTCTGGGTGAAACAGGGCTAATGCACTCCACAGACGCTGCTTTGCTCAACACGGGCCCCAGGGGCTGGTTCTTGAGAGCATCTTCAAAAGGCTCTGTCAACAACATACGACAGCAACAAATCAATCCCCGGAAGAGAGCAATAAAAATAGAGTGAGAGATGAGAATTAAAATGTAACTCTTGACGGAGGCTGGCAGCAGAGATGGATAGTCGGAACTAGAATTTAAATGCACCGCCCAAATGTTGGCATGACTAGCTGGTGAGTCTACTTTCCAGACAGCTGGGGGTTGTGCCTGAATCCGAGGATATGAGCACATACTTTGTCTAGCGGGATAGGACTTCAATGCTGTGCACTGCAAGAAGGCAGGTACGACTTGTCATTTTGCACCACCTCCCTTCTCTGAACCATTAGTCAGCCTCCTTAAGACATCTTGTCCATGCCCACCTCACCCCTCACCAGCTGCAGCACTCGGGAGAGCAGGCCCTGCACCTCACCTGGGCAGCACAGCAGAGCTGACCCTGTTGACAGGGGCACTGGTGAGCGGCCGAGAATGGGGGACCTTGTCCTGTCCCTCATCTTCTATAATTTGGAGTGGGCAAGGAAGCGATGCCACCTTCCCCACCCTTTGCCACCTGTGGCAGGTAGGAGAGCTGGCCCTGAGGCCATGAGAATGGGAGAGCTGTCCCTGCCCCTCACCAGCTGCAGCACTCGGGAGAGTGGTCCCTGCACATCACCTAGGCAACACAGAAGAGCTGGCCCTGAAGGGGTAGGTGTGGGTGAACCACCCCTGAGATCATGAAAACAGGAGAATTGGCCCTGCCCCTTGCTCCTTGCTTCATAGGGTAAACTAACTGGAGCAGTGCTGGAGTTCATCCTGGTGGTGAGCACAAGAGATTACTGGCAGACTGGCCAACCCTGCAACCACCCAGGCTCAGAACCAGGGCTACAAGTTGGCCCACCCCAAAATCCACCCATCTATGATCTGCTGGAGCATGTGAAGAGGTCAGTCCTGCAGACCCAAAGCTGCAGGATCTCCACGACACAGTGTAACAACAGGATATCCAAGAGGAGTCCCAGTGAGGGCCCAGCATCGATAGCATAGCAGAAACCAGAGGCCTAAAACTAGACCAATGGCTCTTGGCTGTAGACAATCATTGCAAATAGAAACATATGCACTAAAGGATTTACTGTGTGACTCACTGGGTTGCACTACAGTTTCCACAATGAGATTTCCCTTTTCCTTTTTACTTTCTTCTCTCTCTCTCCTCTTCTTTTAAATCTTATTTTATTTTGGGGGAAGGATACAAGGGCAGGGGACGGATATGGAAGGATGGGGAGATGAGTGGGATCGACATGTATGATGTGTAAGCCACAAGGAATAAACAGTAAGAAAAAAGAAAGAATAAAAGCTTGTCAATACTGAAGGGAAAGACAAACCACAGAACTCTGCCAACACACCACCGATTTCTTTCATAATCCCTGGCCTCTTGTGGACTTGCTCCAGGACAGAAATTCTGCTTTGCCTTGACCTTCACTGCTATCTGAATATTGATGTCACACTTGCCTTACTCTGCTCCGGAACAGACTTCTTACTGTATAGCTTATCACTGAGTGCTCAGACCACTGTGAGTGACAACACAGATCAGCGGCAAAGGAACTCACTAAGAGCACCCAATTAAACTTCAGTATGTGATCTTCAGTATGATGGGCACTGAAAAGGGGTACAGAGTGCTGGGTACCTGCATGACACCGTGTGAGAACAACAAAAACTAGAGTATTCTCTCTGGAACACAGCTCCCCCAGGGGTCCCACATTGTTTCTGAGATACCCACTGGACCCCTACCGCTACTCAAGGAATGGTGCAAAATTAGCCAAATCTGGCAGAAGTTAGGAAAGGATGGGGAAAAGAGAAGAGAGCGTGCCAAAGTAAAATTAAACCATTTTGAGAATCACTAAATCTTTTACAGATGTGGGGAAGAAAAGTGGTTTAAAGACCACTGGATAAAAGCTAAAATGATAACTCTGTCTCTCTCTGTGTGTCTCTCTGTCTCTCTCTCCGTGTGTGTGTGTGTGTGTGTGTGTGTGTGTGTGTGTGTGTATACTTAGGAACCATTACAGAAGAGCAGGTGTGTGATTCTTCCTAAGGGCAGTCCTCAATGGCTTATCGTTCTTCTACGAGGTTCCACTTTTTCTAATAACATGTTTTTAATATAATATTTTATTAACTCATTGAGGATCTCACACAATATATTTTGATCATATTCGCCTGCATACTCTCCTGCCTCCTCCCAGATCCACTCCCCACCCCTCCCAACTTCCTGTGCTCTGTTTCATCTTTTAAAACAACCTGATGATTCCAGTGTGTGCTGACTATGAGCTCATGGGTCTGGGGCCATTCACTAGAATATAGGTGATCTACTAGGGACCACACCCATAAGAACCTGACAGTTCCTCCCCATAAGCCATCAACTGTCAGGAGCTGTTCAGTGCCCCCTCATGTTAAAATGTTTATTGGTTTGATCTTCTGCAGGTGAGTCCACGAGTATAGAGGACTGCTGAGAATTCAAGGCTAGCCTTAGCGATGGAGGAGTACCAAGCTGACCAGGGCTATGGAGCAACGCCTTGTCTCAAAACAAAACAAACCCAAAACCAAAACATCAAATAAAGAAACCCGGAAAGCAGGGCTGGAGAATCACTGCTTGGTTTTGTAGTCCTACACTTCTTGGACTGTTTTCATTTTTTTTAATTAAAAGAATGGATTATGAGATCCATAATTTACCTCCAAGCCCTGCCCCTCAACAGTGTTTGGTGGGAGTTCAGCATGTCTGTGAACCCACAGGGGCCCAGGAGAAGCCAATTGCAGAAGCTGCAATGTTGCCTCATCAGAAAAGCCCTGGAGTCTCTCCTCACCCTCACGAGACACTGTAGACAGAAGTGTGGGACTGGCAGGGCTACCTTTGACACAGATCAGAGTTACTTAGCCACTACGACTCTCCTTTTCCTTCTTTACAGAGTAGGGGTGGTAATAATAACCGAAGCTCCCTGTACACAGATTAAGACCATTAAATCAGGTAGGAAGTGCTCAGCACGTGATAGTCAGGGCTGTGTTCCTCCCCCTCTTCAGTCCATCAGCTTCTCAAAGAATTAAAGCAGAAGCGTTTAAGATATAGGGCTGGGGAGATTGGTTCAGTTGGTAAAGTATTTGCCTTCTAAGCATGAGGGCCTGAGTCTGATCCCCAGAGCCTATGTCTTAGTCAGCACATGGGGCTGGAGAGATGACTCAGTAATTGCTGCTATTGTAGAGGACCCGGATTCAGTTATCAACACACACATGATGGCTCACAACCTCTTTCAACTTCATTCCCATGGGATTTGACACCCTCTTCTGCTCTCCACAGCCACCAGGAATGGTACACATATATTCGTGCAGGCAAAACCCGCTCAAGACATATAAAAATAAAAAATAAAGATAATTTAAAAAAAAAAACAAAACAAAAACAGAAGAGGCATGCAGGTATGTGCTTGTAATCCTAGTCCTGAGGAGGTGTAGACAGGCAGATCCCTGGGGCTCACTGGCCAGTAAGGCTAATCTAGTTAGCAGGTTCCAGGCCGAGTAAGAGACCTTGTCTCAAAAACAAGTGACTCCTGAGAATGACACCCAAGTTAATCCTATGGCCTACACACAGAGAGAAACAGAGAGAGGGAGAGGAAGAGGAAGAGGGAGAGGGAGAGGGAGGGAGGGAGGGAGGGAGAGAGGGAAGAAGAGGGAGACGGAGAGGGAGGGAGGGAGGGAGGGAGATGGAGAGGGAGGGAGGGAGGGAGGGAGGGAGGAGGAGAGGGAGAGGGAGAGGGGGGGAGAGGGAGAGGGAGGGAGGGAGGGAGGGAGATGGAGAGGGAGGGAGGGAGGGAGGGAGGGAGGGAGAGAGGGAGGGAGGGAGAGGGAGAGAGGGAGGGAGGGAGGGAGAGGGAGGGGGAGGGAGAGAGGGAGGGAAAGGGAGGGAGGGAGAGAGGGAGGGAGGGAGAGAGGGAGGGAGGGAGGGAGAGAGAGAGAGAGGGAGGGAGAGAGGGAGGGAAAGGGAGAGAGGGAGGGGGAGAGGGAGAGAGGGAGAGAGGGAGGGAGAGGGAGGGAGGGAGGGAGGGAGAGAGGGAGAGAGACCCACTCACACAGGCACACCCACCCATATGCATAAACTCCTCTCTCCCCCCATCTCCTCTCCCTCCCCCTCTCTCCACATATGTATGTATGTATGTATGTATGTAGGTTTATCCTCATGAGATTTCAAAACCCTTTCCAAGTTCCTGAATAGTTTCTACTCATCGCATTTCAGTTCATGTATTTTCTCTATCAAGAGGAAGTCCCCGAGACAGTATCAGTTGATACTGCCCAGTGGGGTCCCACCTTTCCCTTCACCCTTCTCTACAGCTCATTGCTGAGTGTGCCCTACCCCCTGACAACATGTGTTTGGCTGTTTAAACCCCACCGGAGGAAGGCCATCTGTTTCCATGCCCCTGTGTCATTTCAGTAATTAGAAAAGTATTGGACACATGGTCAGCACTGGATACAATTTTGGCAGAAGTGGAGAGGAAGAGCGAGAGGGGAAATGAGAACAAATGGATGGGGCAGGGAGGGAAGGGCAAACAGAGAGGGAGAGGGGAGAGGAGAGGAAAACTGGTGGGAGGGAGGGAGGGAGGGAGGGAGGGAGGGAGGGAGGGAGGGGTGGCAGAGGGAAGACACTGTAAACAAGGTACATAGTCATTTCTCATCCCAATATTCTTGTTGATAGGCTGAGATTGCTGACTATGGCCAAACCATCTCTGTACCCTCTGAAATCATACAGCAGCTAGTACAGCATGGCCAATTAATATTCAAATGAACACACATATTTTTTTACATTGTTGGTCTTCAAGAGGAAAACTAGTTTCCCCAAAAGAAAGTCATGTAACCCCAACACCAAAGTCCAGCAGAAAATCCAGTAGTAATATGGATATCAGATAAAAGAGAGAGCACTGGGCACTTATTCATGTCAAAGACATCATAGGGAGGGCAATGGGCACCTACTCATGTCAAAGGCAGCATAGAAAGAGCAACAGGCACCTACTCATATCAAAGAGGTCCTTCCGTGGGCTGCTCTCGGTGCTGCTGCTTGCTGCTGGCCAAACCTGTGGAGGGACTGTCTGGGTGTTGACATAGGTTGGTGTCTCTCCTACCAGAGCCATGTGCCCTTTCCCTTCTGGTGTGCTGTAGATGTCCAAGGAACCTGCACCAAAAAAGTGAGCCCTGTTACCTCTTACGATGGCAACACTCTTCCAGCCTCTGTGTCTGGAATACCTGGAATTTCCTAGAGCGGTTCCTCAAGCCTGCTGGTGAGAACATTTATTTCTGGTTAACTCTCTTCTAAGCCTGTCAAAACCCAGTCCCACTTAAGACACTTCCCAGTTCTTCATGTCAAAAGAAAAATCTGCCAGTCAGGGTGAATACTGGTGGTTAAATGCCTTGCTCAATATGGCTGACCAGGTTGTTGGTGCTCCAGAACCCTAGGAGCTGAGCATTGAGTAACAACGTGACCTCCCAGTGAGCCAAAGGGGTACTGAGGCTAGTCTTGGGGGTCTCCGCTGTTTGGTCAGAAGTAATATGGAAAGTGTTGCTCAAGAGCACCTGCTTGGGTCTCTCTTCCTGTGTGTGACCATCTCTGCTCACTTGTATAACAGAAGCCTTGTTAATATTCCTCTAGGAAGGATGGTTACTGGCTAATAGATGAATAAATTCTTATTTGTTCTGGGGAAAACATATCGACCAGTTTCAAATAAGATCTTGAAGCTGGGTGACTTGACTCATGCCTGTCATCCCAGCTCTCAGAAGGCTACAGCGAAAGGATCACAGCAAGTTCAAGGCCAGTTTGAGCTATAACTTTGCATCGCCAAACACTAAAACAAACTTAAAAACTACAAGAAAAATCACATAAGAGCTTAAGACATACTGAGCTGTGGAGTCTTGGGTACCTGCCTAATTTTCATGCCCCTGATGTCTCCAGGGACTCTCGCTCCTACTCACAGGGACCAGAGAAACCCACAGTCAGTGCATCAGCTGTGTAGAGCAGGCCTCTGTCACTTACCCTGCCTGGTGGGTGCTCGCTGCCAGTCTTCACCAAAGGCTTCTCCTAAGTGTCTTCCCTGGTAGTAAGTTTGCTCTTTCCCTGCAAACTGGAGACAGATGCAGATACTCAGAAAGAGGGAAGTGTCTTCTCATTCCTCATCTTTGTGGGCCACAATGTGGTAAGAGGGGCTTTGGGGGGTTGATTCACCCTCTCTGACACCACCTTTCCACGTCTGCCTCACAGTGGCCTTGTATTCAGCAGATAAACTTGCATGGTTGTTAAAAAAAAATCCACAATCTCATTAATGCTACAACACTTTCTCCTTGTTTTCGTGAACCCAATAATCCCTCCCAAGGGCGGCCGCAGAGAGATCTTGGGCCAGCAGCTGTTCACTCTCCGAGGAGCACACTCCTGAGAAGCAGGAAGCTGCAGAGCCACAGTCTCCCTGTCGGTGCTGTCCTTGCATTTTTATGGGTACCAATAATCTTATTATCTCCAGAGTTGGAAACATAGCTCAGCTCACCAAGCATATGACCCCGGATTTCATCCCTAAGCACCACAAAAAAGAGGGGGGAAAATCTCTTAAGCTTCCATAAAAGACGAAATGCAATAGTTTTAGAAAGCAGGGTTGCGGTGAAGGTTGTTTGAGCTGGAGGGTGTGATAGTTCACTCTAAGTGACAACTTAATGCAACCTAGAAGAGACAGATCTGGAAAGAGGGTCTCAATGAGGGACTGCCTACATTCGGTTGATCTGTGGGAATGTTAACGGGGGGGGGGGGGGGGGGGGGGCGGGGGGGGCGGGATTTGGCCTTTGAAGTAAGTTGGAAAAACCGAGACCACTGTGCACTGCACCACTGCCTAGGCAGGGAGACCTGAGCTGAATTGGAGTGGAGGAAGTGAGCTGAGCACAAGCGAGCACGGCAGCATTCACGCACACTTCTTTGCTCTCGGCTGTGGTTAATTCATGCACACTTCTTTGCTCTCGGCTGTGGTTAACTCACGCACACCTCTGCTCTTGGCTGTGGTTAACTCACACACACCTCTTTGCTCTCGGCTGTGGTTAACTCACGCACACCTCTTTGCTCTTGGCTGTGGTTAGAATGTGACTCGCTGCTTCAGGCTCCTGCTCCGACTCCCCCACAGTGATAGACTGTAACCTGGTGCCATAAGCGAGCATAGCCCTTTGTCCCCTCAGCTGGTTAGAGTTAGGGTATTTTACCAGAGCAACAGAAATGAAACTGGACCAGAGTGGTGGATAAACAAAATAGAAAAAAAAATGCCTAAAATTCAGACCTTAAGGGGACGGGTCCACTCTCTTCAGGGAGCCCACAGTATCACGGGCCTTTTTAAAAAAAAAAACAAAAAACAAAAAACAAAAAAAAACCCTGGAATCCTGCCATCCCCTCGTTAAGACCACAGCATGGTGGAACTGGGGCTCAGACTCAGGTCACTTTCATTCATGTCTCAGACATGGCACTGGGGTTCTGAGGTCAGCTCCCTGTGATGTCAAACCAAACCCCTCCCTTCCATGTTCGTTGTGATACCGGTGGAAGAAAGCCTGCGAGGGAGCGTGTCCAAAGCTAAGTGGAATATCAGCCAAAAATAACACTGAGCAGGATAAATGCAAATGGGGTCATCTTTAACCCAAGAAGAGAACCTCAAACTTACCTGGGCTGTGTCAGGAGCGTGGGGTCTGGCTTTCAATCGAGCATCAAGAAATCCCCCTGGAGGAGGCATCTTGCTGGGAACACTGTTGTAGTATGGGTGATCAGGACCATCTCCCTCCTCTTCAGTCCATGGCTCATCTAGACTCTGCATCCTGTTAAAAGATTGTCAGTGACCTCACCCAGAGTTGAGCATACAGGCAGACCTAATAACTCTGACATCAGGACCACCTATAGAAACCAAACGCTGAGAGTACCCATCTAAAAAACTAAGTGTTACTGCATGTTCCTGAGACTCCCACACCTGAGGGGTGAGAGATAGGCGCATTGCTGGAGCCTTCCAGATACCAGTCTAGCTGAAAAATAGTGATCTCCGGATTCAGTGAGAGACCCTGCTTCAAGGGAATAAAGTAGAGAATGATAGAAGATAACCTATGAAGTCTTCCTCAAGGCTATTGCATGTATACTTATGAGTACACATGTACACACACACACAATGAAATTAATGTTAACTGTCGAGTTGACAGAACCTATGATCATCTGAGAGATGGTCCCTTGGAAATTTGCATGGGGCATCATTTTGATTGTGGTTTGATTAAGGCGAGATGACCTGCCCACTTGTGGGTAGTGCCATTCCCTTGGCAGAAGGACATTGGACTGCGTAAGATGAAAAAAGCAACCTGAGCACTGACATCTGTGAATTGTTCTCTTATTATCGTATGTGACAAGCTGCATCAACTTCCCTGCCATGGTGAACTGCACCTTGAGTTGAGAACCGGAATAAACCTTTCTTCCTTAAGTTGCTTTTCTTAGAGCATTTCATGACAGCAACAGAAGAGAAACCAAGAAAAACACCTACACTTATCATACACAGATAGCACACACAACTAAAAAATAAACATTTTCTAACAATGAAATAAACTGTAAGATCAGTACTGTTGCGGTATCTTAAATAGTCCTGTTTGTATCCCTGTAGTAGCCTTATAAGCTAACAGCTATCAAACAATGATAACCATCACCCAAGTAGTCACAGATGGGACAGGACAGTTCTGAGCCTCCTTCAAAAGCTGGTTCCCAAAAAAAATTATCATTATTTTCCTTATCTGTGGTGGTATGAAAGAAAATGGTTCCCAAAGGAGTGGCACTATTAGGAGATATGACCTTGTTGGAGGAAGCATGTCACTTTTGGGGTGGGCTTTGAGGTCTCTTTTGCTCAAGCTTCCCTCAGTGTGACTATCAGTTGACTTCCTGTTGCCTGAAAGATGTAGGACTCTCAGCTACCAGCTGGACATCTGCCTGCATGCAACCATGCTTCCCACCATGATGACAATGGACTGAACCTCTAAAATTGTGGGTGAGCCACCCCAATTAAATGTTTTAATTTGTAAGAGTTACTGTGGTCATGGTGCCTCTTCACAGCAATAAAAAACCCAAGACACTGTCTGAGTGTTCCTTTGAGCACCCAGTTCCCCAAGCTGTCTTTTAAAAAATTTACTTTTAATTATCACATAGTAATCTTGCACATTTATTATGGGGTGCTGTGTGCTAACTTGATACATTTATACAACACACAGTGACCAAATTAGAGTAATTAGCATTCCCATCTCCTTAAGCACTTATCATCTGTTTGTGTTTGCCAAAGCAGTCTTTATTTAACCTGATGCAGAGCTTGCCTGGGGCATCTGTCAAAAATATTCAGAGGCAAATGTTTATCATGTGGCCCACATGAAGCTGGGAATAACATTTGGGTCAAAGAATTTTTATTAGTGGAAGTGAGTGAAAAAGAATATAGAGTTTATGGAGTTAGAGGGGGAAAAGCCAACAAAGCAAATAGTCACAACCAATGGCAATCACAAGCCCAAAATGAGAAGCCGGGATGTTAATCAACTCCCACACATTTATCTGGAAGGCTACACACATTTGCAGGATTCAGCTTGTGCTCATGCCACAGGGTGTAACATGGCTCTAAATTCTCACTTCTGACCTAAACACCTCACAAGTAGAAGGTGAAAACTGAAAAACAATCAACTGATTCACCATATGTTGAAGGAGTGTACCAAAACACACATACAAACAGATATACATATACACACATACATAGAAGGTAGATGCATACAGATACAGATAGGACACACACACATACATATACACATGTATACATATATACATGTGTATAAATATACATGATTCATATGCACATACACATATATACATGCACACACATGTAGCCCATCATTAAAGACTGAGAGGCTAAATTGTTCAACATTCAAGGAAAACTCTGCAATTGTTAGTGAAGAAATGTAGTTAACCAAACAGAGACATCAGTGGACATAAATGACAAATGTAGATTATAGAATTTATAGAATTAATTAAGTAAAGTCACTAAAACCACCACAAACATTAATAATATACATTCTGGAAAGAGAAAGTATGTGAGTTTCAGTCTTGCAGCTTTCTATTACTTACATTTTTAGTGTCAGCAAAAAAATTATAAGCTATAAAAATAAGAAAGGATAGCTCATATCCAGGAAAAAGAAGTCAGTAGAAACTATCACAAAGAGATCTCAGACTTAAGGATAAATAAAAACAAATATATTCAATCAGCTAAGAGAAATGACTCTAAAACACTAAATATGGAAATTGTCTCACAAAGTGGGACTTACCAGCATTCATAAAGAAATAAAAATAACAATAAATTCTAGGATTGGAAATTCTACCATTACTTCAAACAATTCACTTAAGCAAATAACAGTTTTGGGAGGTGGAAGAAGAAAGGCAACATTTTAAAACAACTCAGCTGAGATGAGCCAGTCTGAGGAACAGAGAAGAAACCTACTAAAAGAGCACAGAGCCCGAGAGACCTGTAGAATACCAAAAATGCCAACATGTGTGTAGTAGAGTCCCTGACACAGAGCCCGAGAGACCTGTAGAATACCAAAAATGCCAACATGTGTGTAGTAGTCCCTGACACAGAGCCCGAGAGACCTGTAGAATACCAAAAATGCCAACATGTATGTAGTAGAGTCCCTAAAGGAGAGCAGACTGAGGAGGGCAGGGAAAATACTGGCCTTGTTACGGTACAAATCTTCCCAAATTAGCTAAAAGAAAATGTTCTATACAACCAAGAGGCTAGCTAGGAAGCTCAGCTTAGATAAACTCAGAGAGTCTTAGGCACCCTAATCTAACTATTTAAAGTCAAAGGAGGCATCTGAGGGCATCCAAGGGAGCTGCTCAAGAAAACAAGGGATCCTCATGGTATTAATAGCTGATTTCTTCCCAGACACAAAGGAGGGCCAGAGGCAGGGAAAAGGAAGGTTTCCCGTCATGACGTCCACATCCAATAAGCAAAGCTGCCCAAATGAGGCAGAAAGCGTATTCCAAGGGAAATAAAGGCAGGAGAAATCCACTAGAAAACCTTCTCCTTAGGAAATACTATGGCAAGTATATTAAGCTGAAATTAAGTAGATAATCAGTAGAAATTTACAATCAGAGGAAACAGCAAAAAAATAATGGCAAGACTACACAAAACTATAAATTCAGTGTTGCCTAAAATTTCCTTATTCTTCCCTTCTCATTTAAAAATACATGAAGCAATGTGACCGTACTGATGAACACACAATGAATAAAGGTGTAGCTTGCACAGCAATAACAGCAGGATGGAAGAACTGGAGAGATGTCACAGTGGTTAAGACCACACCAGGCTCTTGCAGAGAACCCAAATTCTGCTCCCAGCCCACACAGAGTGGCTCACAACTGCCTCTAATTCCAGCTTCAGAGGATCCGAATCCCTCTTCTGGCTTCCATACTGCACTCATTTGTCCACTCGAGGGGACACATTCACACGTTTGCTCATACACACACATACACAAATACAAACGCACATAATTCAAAACAAATATTTTTTTAAAGAGTAGTATAATGGAGTGTGGAAGAATAGATCTATACAGAAGCCACTCTTTGATATATTATTAAGTTCTTTAATCTGAATATATAGTTATAAATTAATATATTAACTATAATCCTCTGGTCACTACTTTAAAAGTAGTGGAAGAGAAAGAAGTTAAATTGCACACTTGAAAAATGTTTATTTGCCTTACACAAAGGAGACAGCAACTGTCATGTAAGAGGATAAAATGGCATAAAGAAAAATTAGCTCAATAGCGGGAGGAAATCCTAACATCAGCAATTGCATTAAATATAAATGTATTAAATGTTATTCTTAAAAGACAGGGGTTGACAGACAAATTAGAAAATGATCCAATAGTAAGTTTTCTATCAGCAACACGTTTTAGAAAAAATAAATGGAAAAGCAGAAAGTTCAAGAATAATATGGAGAAACACTAATTGCCACTTTATTATTATATAGGATGACTAAGCAGAAGATTAGGAAATAGAAGTTTGCACACAAAAACTAACCAGACCTAAGAGACATCAATAGCACATTCTACCCAAAAACAACAAAATAAAACTTCTTCTCCCACGCAGAGGGAACATCCCCCAGCAGAAAGCATATGTCAAGCTTATTTAATAATAAACTTAAAAATTTTTAAAGAATTAAAATATAAAAAGTATTTTTTGATAATAATGGAATCATTGTAGAAATCAAAGTAGACTCCTACAAGATTCCAAGGGAAATTAGGAATTTAAAGTATGTCTAAGAATGGATTCCTGCATATAAAAAATATACAAAATCTGTTGTATTTTATACATTGATGATGATTAAAAACAAAAATAAAATAATAAATCATTGGAGCATCAAAAGGGGAAAATTTTAAGGGGAAAAACTATGTAATCAGGGTTAGACATACACTGAAAATTATAAAACACATTGAAAAACACAATCCACAAAATAGGAAAATATTTGCTAATGTATTTCTTTAAGGTAGCGTGTATCTACAATCCCTAAAACTCAACAATTTAAAAGAAAAGCAACCCAATATTTAAAAAATAAAAAACTGAGCAGACGTTTCCCCCAAGAAGACAGAGAAATAGTCAGCAGCACATGAAAGATGTCTGATAGCAAAATCAGGAAAAAAAAGTGCAAGTCAAAGCCATCATCAAAGAATTTTTGGCCCACTAGGGCAGCCATAACCAACGATATGCACAGCAACAAATATGCTGATATTGATTATCAACTTGATAGGATTAGAATCACCAAGGAAACAAGACTCTGGCACACAACTATGGGGGATGATGTAGATGATTAGGCTACCCTCTGGCCACGCCTGTGAGGGATTATCTTGATTTGGTTAACTGAGATAGAAAACCCATCCTAATAACGTGTGGCACCATTCCCTGGGCTTGGGTCTCTGGACTGCACAACAGAGGAAGAATCTAAATGAGCACCAGCATCCCATGGTCTCTACTTCCCAGCTGTGGATGCAATGTGACTACCTACCTCACATTCCTGCAGCCTTGGCTTTCTTGCCATGAGGGACTGTATTTCCAAACTGTGAGCCAAAATAGACCCCTCTTACCACACGTTGATTCTTTCAGAGTATCTGTGCTGGCTATTTTTGGTTGTTAGCTCGACTACATCTGGAATTAACTAAAATCCTGGGCACATATGTGAGGGATTATTTCCTCAATGAAATAATGAAATAAATGTGAAGATGATATACTTCTAATCCATATTTCTGAGGTGGGAAGATCCACCTTTAATCTTGGCCACACCTTCTGATGGAAGAAGGAAGCTTGCTCTCTCTCTCTGCCGGCTTGAGCTCTCTCTCACTAGCAAACACACTTCTTCACTGGCATTAGAGCCTACTTCGTTGGGTTTCTGGCATATACTGAAGACTATCTGGGACATCCAGCCTTGTAGACTGAATAGCTATTGGATTCTTGGACCTTCTGTTGGTAGAAAGTCATTATTGGACTAGCAGAACCACAGCTGGTAAGCCATGCTCATAGACCCCATATCTATTGTGTGTGTGTTCTGTTCCTATAGAGAACCTTGACTAATACCTTATCTTATCACAGGGAAAAAAAAACTAAAAGGCAGCTAAGACAGTTTCCTAAATGGTTAACAAACCGTAGGACCATTAACTCAATAATTCTACTCTAAGGCATTATCACAAGAAACATGTCGTCAAAGTTTGACTACAGCTTCATAGTAGTTTTGCTCAGAAGAGTGAAAGGAAGGAGACAATTCAAATGCTCATGAAGGGTTTATTTCAGTGAACAAGTTCACTGTCCATCATTGAGGGAAGCAAAAGAGGGAACTTAAGCAGAAGCGTAGGTGGAACGCTGCTTACTGGCTCATTCATGGGCCATGCTTAGCTAGATTGCTTATAGAGCCCAGAACAACCTGCCCAGGGAATGGTGCTGTCCAGAGTGGACTGGGCCCCACTGTATCAACTGAAAACCCCCTGCAGGCAGATCCACAGCCAACCTGATCTAGGGATTCCCTCAGTTGAGATTTCCTTTTCCCAGGTGACTCTAGGCTATGACAGTTGGCAATTAAAGCTAACCAGGGCAGTGTGTTTTCAAAACACAAACGATCCATACCCTTTTGTGACTCAGTCTTCCCACACCATTATAAGTTCTGAGACTGTGACCTCCGATGCCTGCACCCTGTGTGGCTTCTGGAAACCAACATCTCCGGGCACATTAAAAATGAAGAACTATGCTGACTCATTCTCAGGTCAGAGGTGCCAGGGCTGTGGCCACTTCCTTCACACCTCCTCCAGCCACATCCTGCCGAATTCATCAGCCTGGACAAAGTGGGTCCTTACGGGAACAATGGATGCCTTAAAGGGAATTTGCCAAGGGATGACGAGGGAACAGAGCAGAGCAGATGCCAGCTCCACAATGCCACAGAAGGTGGCTTTGTGGGTTTGAAGTGAGTAAGAAGTAAACCTAAGGGAACAATGCTTGTTTGCAGTGAGCACACCATTAGAAAGATTTTCCTGTGTACACATGTATGTGTGGGCACACGTACATAGGTGTCATACATTTGTTTATGTGGAGGCCAGAGGTCAACCTCCAGGCTATTTACATTGCTTTTAAGAAAGGGTCTCTTGGGGCTGGAGAGATGGCTCAGCGGTTAAGGGCATTGCCTGCTCTTCCAAAGGTCCTGAGTTCAATTCCCAGCAACCACATGGTGGCTCACAGCCATCTGAAATGAGATCTGGTGCCCTCTTCTGGCCTGCAGGCAGACACACAAACAGAACATTGTATACATAATAAATAAATATATATATAAAAAAAAAAGAAAAAGAAAGGGTCTCTTACTAGCATGGAACTCACCAAGAAGACAGGCTGACTGGCCAGTGAACCCCAGAGATCCTCATGTTTCCACCTCCCCAACCTCTGTACCTGGCTGGTTTTGTTTTTAAACATAGGCTCTGAAGGTAAAACTCAGGTTCTATGCCCACAAGGCAAGTACATTACTGGCCGAGCCACCTTCCAGCCTATAACAGCTTTTTATTATGCGAGTTTGTCAAGGACAGAATATACTCAAGTTCAAGGACAGAAGACCACTGAATGCCTCATGTGACCATAGCACTTTTCTGCTTCCTATGTCACGGAATATTCTTGCATCCTAAGGAAACTCAATAGCAGACTCTCTGGTTTTTGTTTTTTGTTTTTTGTTTTTTTTTTTTTAAATTATCACCTAAGTAGCCCACATTTGGTGTTAACAATCCTTCTTCATTTAATAGTAACGAAACTCTCCAGTGATTCTTATCCCTATTTTCCAGAAAAAGCCACGGTGACTCGGACAGTTTAAGGATCTTGCTCAGAGCCATATGGCAGATGAACAAGCCCCTAAGTTATTAGGCCATGGAGGCTGTTAAACAAAAATTATGCTGGCAGCAGGCGGCTTTGGCTAACTGTGACAACAGAAAGATGAGGAACAGACCTGTGTGGACACAGACCCAGGGAGGGGACCTATGGAAGAATTAAAGGCTGAAGAAGACACAATGTGACCTAAAAAGATTACAATGAAGCTGTTTTTGGTAACCTTGTCTACTGTCACTGTAACTTCCAGAAAATGTTCCCTGCCCATTCAGAGCCTTATGTGAGCTCCCATCTGCTGGCTTTCTGCACCTCTGCAGAGCACCAGCCAGGTGTCTGTGAGTTCCGGGAAACCCCCCACGATGATTTGGGTCTGCCTGGAGTGCAGTGCTGGCGGCTGGTTTTAAAGGAAAGTTTATAGACCCTGCCTAAATCACTGAGAAAAGCAGGCGCAGCTACTCACCGGTCCTGCAGAGCAGGAATCTTGGAAGGACACTGCAAATACTGTTTGAACCGGAGCTCAAAGGCTTGTCCGATGGAGCCAATGACATCTTGGGCTAGCCCATCACAGCATTCCAGAATGTGGCAAGCTTGGAGAGAAGGGGACACACCCTCATTAGAGACCATACCAGAGCTCTCTGGACCCCTTGACAAAGAGCCCCATCTGGGGTGCAGAGGGAAAATGTCACACACCTCCCTCCTGGCATGCTCTACCAACCCACAGTTTCATCTCTGTGGGCATCCTACAGTGGTTATGGACATGTGAAGTTCTTAGAGGGCTTGTCTGCAAAAGTGAAGGTCTTATTTCTAATACTCAAAACACATCTTTCATTTTATGTGTGTGTGTGTGTGTGTGTGTATGTTGCCTTCATGTGTGTCCATACATCTCACACATGCAGTACCTGAAGAGGGTAGAAGATTCCCCTGAACTGGAGTTACAAGTGGTTGTAAGATACCCTGTGGGTGCTGAAAACCCAACCTGGGTCCTCTACAAGAGCAGCAAGTACTCTTAACCTCTGAGTCACCTCTCCAGCCCATTGGTGGTTCTGATTCTCTCACAATCTATAGACCAATGGTTCTGACCTCCATAGGGAAGCAGTGTTTAGAAAGAAAACTCAGCTCAAACTGGATCTTTCACAGCCTTTCCTCAAGGCCTCGGGAACCTTAACAATAGATGTAAAATGGTGCTCCCTGGATGGATAAACCTTAGCAGTAGATGCAAACTGGTGCTCCCTAGATGGATAAACCTTAGCAGTAGATTCAAACTGGTGCTCCCTAGATGGATAAACCTTAGCAGTAGATGCAAACTGGTGCTCCCTAGATGGATAAACCTTAGCAGTAGATGCAAACTGGTGCTCCCTAGATGGATAAACCTTAGCAGTAGATGCAAACTGGTGCTCCCTAGACGGATAAACCTTAGCAGTAGATGCAAACTGGTGCTCCCTAGATGGATAAACCTTAGCAGTAGATGCAAACAGGTGCTCCCTAGATGGATAAACCTTAGCAGTAGATTCAAACTGGTGCTCCCTAGATGGATAAACCTTAGCAGTAGATGCAAACTGGTGCTCCCTAGATGGATAAACCTTAGCAGTAGATGCAAACTGGTGCTCCCTAGATGGATAAACCTTAGCAGTAGATGCAAACTGGTGCTCCCTAGATGGATAAACCTTAGCAGTAGATGCAAACTGGTGCTCCCTAGATGGATAAACCTTAGCAGTAGATGCAAACTGGTGCTCCCTAGACAGATAAACCTTAGCAGTAGATGCAAACTGGTGCTCCCTAGACAGATAAACCTTAGCAGTAGATAGAAACTGGAACTCCACGGATGTTGATCTTTTCAATGAACTTAAGGGAAAGTTGTTCTTGACTTAGTAAGAGTGAAGCGTTGATAACCAAATCTAGCTGGAAACACTAAGTAGCACAGTATAGGGAATAAGGAGGTGGCTCAGTCGATAATGCATTTGTCACGCAAACCTGAGGACCTGAGTTCAGTCCCTCTAATCCACATAAAAAGCCAGGCATGGTAGCATAGGCCTAGAATCCAGTACTCAGGAGACAGAATCAGGAGGATCCCTGGCGTTTGTTGGCCAGCTATACAGTCTCCTCAGCAAGGTTCATGTTACAGTGAGAGAGGCTGTTTTAAAATCCAGTGGAGAGAATGCCTTTTGCCTTCCCATTGCTGTGATAAAACACCCTAACGAAAGCAACTTAAAGGAGACAGGTCTTTGGCTCACAGTTCCAGGGTGCAGTCCACCACAGTGGGGGATCAAGTGGCAGGAGCTTGAAGTGTGGTCTGAAGCGAGATACTCCGACTTGGTTATTGCACGTAGTGTGTACCTCATACTACACCTCATAAATAAGTGTAGTTATGTGTTGATTAAACAAAGACTAGGAAGACCACTCGGCTGGCTAAGTGCTTGCCCTGAGAGCATGAGGACCTGAGTTCAGATCCCCAGGACCCTGTGTGCAGGGATGCATATCTGTAAATCCAGTGCTGGGGAGGAGAGACAGGGATGGGCCCGGTGCTTGGTGGCTAGCTCAAATAAATGAGCTCGTGGTTCGGGGGAGGGGGACCCTGTCTCAAAAATAAGATGGAGATCAGACGATAAAGTCATACAAACTACATATGTGTGCATGTTGCATGCGGGTGCATGTCGCATGTCTGTATGTGTATGTGGAGGCCAAAGGACAACCTCAGGTGCCATTCCTCCGTGGACACTCACTTTGTGTTATGAGAGAGGGTTTCTCATTGACCTGAAAGTTACCAACCAGGCTAGGCTGTCGGCCAGCAAACCCCAGGATCCTCCTGCCTCCACCATTCAATGCTAGGGTTACAGGTGTTGCCACCGCACCTGGCTTTTCAGGAGGACTCTGGGAAATGATCTCAGCCTCTTAAGCCTGCACAGCAAGCACTCTGCCAACTAAACTGTTTCCCCAGGCTCCAAAGAGCTATTTAACCACATTGTTGCCTGGATCCCATTCTCTCAGAACTGAGTGTTAAGATGTTTTCATAAGGCTCCTAAGTAACTCTCAAGTGTAGCTCATTTTGAGGACCATTGACCTGGACCTACTAAAGAAGTCTGAAAAACAAGATTGCCTAAATCACTTGCCATTAATTTGAAACAAACCGAAATGGAGACATGAACCCCAGCTGCTCCTGCTTCTAACCCAGATAGAGCTGGGGGGGGGGCAGTGCCTGCAGAGGGATAGCCTATGCCTCCCCTCCCCTATAATCCTCCCTGATTTCAGGGGCAGCTAGGATACTTAAAGGGGCTGGTTTGTGCTCTGGGTTCAATTATGCCCCCCCTTTTTTTAAGTTATGCCAAAAATCCAGGACCTCAGAAGGTGTCCTTATTTGGAAAATGGCAATTTCAGATGTAACTGGTTAAAATGAGGTCACGGCAGGATAGGAGGGGCCCTGAGCCACCATGGACTGTCATCTCTAAAAGCATCCATGAGCACAGACACGGGGAGTACACCTCATTAGGATGGGTTCCAGTAACACACCTGCAAGTCAAGGGACATTGGAGATTATCAGAGAGAAGCCAGGAGGAGGCAGAATTTCTCCTCCAGGACCCAGAGGGAGCCCGTCTGGCCCTGCTGACAGCATGAACTGGGCATCCAGCCTCCAAAATCGTGAGGCAACATGTCCTTCTTGTTTTAAAAAACTTGATCTGTGTTCGTTGCCTTAGACACTAAGCTGAGTCTCTAAGCCTGCACCAAGAGCTTTTGCTCACATCTCTGGGCGGCAGTCCTGATAAAACCCTGTTCACCTGGGGCCAACCCAGGCTTTATACAGTTTCCCGAGAAGACAGGCGAGCAATAATGGATGTGCGGAGAGATGAAGGCTGGTACTCAGCTCACTTTCTCTTTTCCTTTATTTCAGAATTCCAGCCCATGGAGGGTGCTACCCTCAGTTAGGGTGGGCCTTCCCACTTCAATTAATCCAACCCAGGAACTCCCTTACAGCTCGTACAGAGTTTATCTGCTAGGTGATTCTAGGTGTTGTCAAGCTGACAATTAGTATTTAACATCACATATGGTATCCACTCAAGAAAGACAGCAATAAGGAAGGGTCTGCAGAAGCCCCTGCAGCTAAGGCAGAGCACCCCAGTCTCAATTAATCTGCCCTTGTTGGTTGTCCTGAATGTATGTCCAAAGTACAGGTTTGGGAAGAGGCTGGCAAAATTGAGTGTTGGGTATCATGTGCATTGAGAGGTTTGGGTTGTTGCTCTTGTTTGTTTGCTTTTTGCAAGAGAAAAAAATTATGTCTGAGTATGCAAGCAAAGTTTAAAACCAGCTGCTGGCACATAGCACAAAGGCCAGGAGGAAGAATGGAACCAGTCTGCAGCGGAGGATAGTGCCACTCTGCATGGTGACAAATTCCACTGGTGTTTTGCCAGTGACTTTTCAGTAACTGTGGCAGGGGTCATCGAGAGCTGCCTAGTGTCCAAGGGTAGTCACTCTGAGCCCATCTTCCTGAGTGTATTATTATCCACTCTGGTTTTGTACATGACACCCCCTCCTCAGCCTCTGTGTTCTCAGATGCTCCAAAGGGACACGAGAAAACAGCACACCCCGAGCTTAGGTGCTGGGCCCAGAGCAGGAGACAGGACAGTGTGCACACACGGGGTGATGCTGGTCAGGAGGATGAGCAGGTATAGCGTTTCCCAGGCATAGCTGAGGCTGTTACCAGAGCACGGGGTGAGACAGGTGAGGTGTGAGTGTGGTATACCGAACCGCGGCCATCCTGACCCAGGTGAGAGTTTGGGACTCAGCATCCAGTAGGTTCTCTCTCAGCCAGGTGACAAGCTACCCTTGCAGGCCTCAATTATCCTTAATCACGTCACGTGACATGTGCTCGTTTGCTAAAGGAGCTGAGATAATGAGAAACATCTGGTTCACAGCATCAAGCCTGGCTTCACACAAGTGAGTGATTAAATGGGTCGAGCATTGCTTACCTCTGCGATTAACAGGGTCCTTAGCAACATAGGCAACATAGTCTGTTGTGTCCTGTGGAAGAAAAAGGGGACATTTGTACTACCCATCACAGCAAGAGGGAAGACCAGAGGGATGCAGGGCCCAGTGTGGTGAGCATCCATCACACAGCCAAGAATCGGCTTGGAAGGAAAGTTCATGAACCAACGCTTTCCCAGTGTGGGAGGCCCTGGGCCTCCTCAGTCCTGGGAGAAGAAGAAAAGAAGGGAAGGAGGGAGGAAGGCAGAGAGGAAGGGCCAGATACTTTGTACAAAATGGGCATGGTTTGAGGCATGTCCTCAAACTTGGACGGGGCTGGAAATCCCTGGAGATCTGTGTGCAGACTGAGCAGAACCTGAGGAATCACGAGTGACTGGTGCAGTTGCCACTAACCAGTCCCCCTGGTCGTGTATGCTACAAGTCCGTGACCACACTCGGAGCAGCCAGGGTGACAAACACCCCATGGTGGTTCTTCTGGGAGGCTTTCAAAGCTGGTTCTTGTGTACCGTTGGTTCATCTGACTTAGCATGTTTGGACTTGAGACCTGACCATGAAGACCTTTTGAGAGCTCGTAGACACACTGGTGTGAGCCAAAGTCAAGAAGCAGGACTGTCAGTAAATGTGTGTGTGTGAACTGTCCTCAAATTTGAATTCCTGTGAAAATCCTGAAAAGGCTTAAGACGAATAGTTGAGCTGTACCCCAGTTTTCTATCTGGACCCCCAAGCCGGATTGCTGACAAATTCCAGCTGCCATGGGGTTAAAGACCATACTTTGAGAACTGATTGCTGGGGAAAATACTAGGGTAGGAGTTTAAGGACTGGATACTCACAACAGGCAAGATTTGGAATTAGCCTAGTAAGCTACACAGTGGAGTTTTATGCATCTTATAATTCCAGATTACATTTATTGCAGGGAGTCAAGGCAAGCTTTACATCCATGGTCAAGAGAATAAATGCATGGCTCCTTTCTTGTTTCCTTCTGCTCATCTTGACTTCTCTCTTCCGCTGTTCAGGAAGCTTGCCTAAGGAATGTGCCACCCACAGTGGTCTGCCTCTTCCTACCTCACGGGCTAATCTGTCAATAGAGACTCTCTACCCAAGTGATTCTGGGTGGTGGCAAGCTGAGAGTTAAGACGAACACAAACCCACAAGCACCACGCCTCAGAGCGGGCAGCTTGAAAGGTCAGCCCGTCTTTGCAGTTATTTTCCTGAGCTTATGATCCAAAGGCCTTCAAGCTCATCCACTGCTCCTGTCTGTGTGGTAGTGGTCTGTGCTGGCCTGTCTGTTCCGTCCCTGAGGAAGTCTCCTCTGTTAAGTGTCCTTAACAGAGATCCAGCAAATACTGCTGGGAGAGGGGAGGAGTGAGTGGGCATGGTGCCCTTCAAGACTTCCGGAGAACAGAGGCATGGGGACTTTTCCAGCGGTGGAGACAAAAGAACCCTTGTCTCTGTGGCTCATCTGAGCATAGTCCATTTCCTGGTCTTTAATATTTCACAGCCCGGCGAGAGAAAGGACAGGAAGACTATAAAATGGCCTCTGTTCACTTCCACGGAGGCAAATCTTCTGAGGATTTGAAGCTGTTGGCAAAAATATTACAATTCTTCACTTTCCTCCCAGACTCATGGGATGTGGGAGTCGCAACTGTCCTTCAGAAACGTCAGGAGCGTCTTGGCCAACAAACCGGAGCCCTGGAGCTTTGGAGCCCTGGGTGCAGTTACAGGGTCAAGACTGAGATTCACAGACAGCTTTCCCATACTCTAGGAACCAGTGTATTCAAGAAGCCGAACGGATGGTGCCTTTGCCCCAGTTGATCCAAATTGCTGTCACTTTTGTGCCTAAGGATGCGTGCTGAAGGTTGTGCTTGAATAGAAGAAATGAGCAGAACTGAATCACCTGGGAACCGTAGTAGCCGATCCCCAAAAGACACTAGCCACCCTGGCAGCCAGCTCAAAGACGCAAGGAAGGCAGGAGTGGGGGAAGGGGGTGGGAGGTGCTTTTAGTTTGACAAACTGTCTTTGTGGTACATTAATATAAACCTGCATGTGATCAGCTTTCCAGCTTTCCTTTGTAATTTCCAAATTTTATCCTAGCGGCCAAAATGAACCTAGGACAGATGGCATCACTGGAAGGTGGTGGGACTAGGAGGTACAGTTAGAGGGAGCAGGTCATGGGGGCAGGCCTTCGAAGGGTATGCCTTGCCTCCATCCCATTCTGTTTCTGCCCCCTGGCTGTCATGAAGAGAACAGCTCTTGCTCACATGGCCGCTCTGGGAGAGGGCCCCCTGCCTCACCTCACACACAAAACAACAGACCCAGACAGTGGCGGGCTGGCACTTGGAAGCCAAAATGATTCTTACCTCCGTTTAAATTGATTTTCTCACATATGTCTGACAGTGACAGGAAAAAAGAAATCTGTCAAATATAGATATGATCTTGAGAAATAGGTGAACACACAGGAAGATTTTCACCTTCTAAATCTACGTCTCACTGAGAGAGTTTATGTTTCAATGAGGTGTAAAACTCAACACTAGGAAGACTAGAAAGGCATAGCCAGGGAAGGACAGAGTAAAAGGAAAAGCATTGTGGGAGGCTTTGGAAACAATATCCTACGTGTGAAAAGGGCCCAAACCACTGGCACCAAAATAAATAAATAAATAAATAAATAAATAAATAAATAAATGGAGATCTTAAGTTACAGAATTTGCTTTTTGTCATGTGAATGAACTTAGGTTAAAAAAATATCCCTCCTCGTATTACCCCACTTTTAATTTTTTGGCCTTTAACCACAATAAAAATTATCGTAATAATGTTTGGAAGGAGCCGGGCCCATTTCCTCTCCTCCCTCAGTGTCTTGCTCCCTGGCGTGGTTGTCTGCCTGTTTTTGAGGTGGTTTGGAGATGTGGCAGGGAACAACCGAGGAAAGCAAGCCTGGCAAGATGGATCAGACAGGGGAGCTATGACGGAGGCAATGCTTCCCGAACTCCTGATAATTCATGGCTGAAAGTGAATGGTGGGACCTGGTCATAGGTTACCCTTCCCCCACCAAATAGCAACTCGAATGACAGTGGAGAGGGCTGTGGTGCAAGCAATACCTTGCCAGAAGAGTGCTTGCTGACCCTTGGCCCCCTGCTCAGTCTCTAAGACAGGGAAATGAAAGGGGAGGAGAAGAAGAGAGGGAGGGAAGGGAAGGAGGGCTTGGGGAGGGAAGACTTTTGCAACCAAGAGGGATAAACAGTTGGGATCACAGCTTCCGGGGCTGTAACTACTTTACTTGCAAAATTTCATCGATGACTATTTTATCTTACAAAACACTATTTCCTTCAGAGAATTTCCCCCATAGGGTATAAAACTTGTTTTTCTGGGCACCCTACAGTTGTTTCTGAGCACAAGCACTGCATGGAACAGAATTCTACCCAGACTGAAGTTGTACTGATCCTAAAACAGCTGGACTGCTATCAGAATAGTAAATTGGGGTTTCAGTAAAATCCGCATAAAACACTTTTGTGTCGTGTCTTCAAGGGGCACATCTTTAAAGCAAGGGCTTTGTCTCAGAAATTTCCAGCAAGAACGAGAGAAACAGCCGAGGCCACTCACCGGGTCTCCCCCCGAGGCGAAGGAGATGGACTGCATGTGATGGTTTGCTATGATCTGCCGGGGCGGAGACAAGAAACAGAGGAGCCGTTAGCATTGTGCTACATCCTGCCAAGCCCGCATGCTAGCAGGTGAGCGACCAGACGTCCTGAAAACTACCCCCAGGAAGATGACAACTGCCACACACTGAGGAGGTAGGTCACCTGCCCTCACTGTGCACAGCCTGATAGCGGCCGTCTCTTTGGTTGGCTACTCGAATGCCCCATTAAGCCTCCCAGCAGCTGAGAAGTGGGAACTGGGGACAACCCATTTTACAGGCACAGAGCGTGAGCCCAGAGGGGCACGAGGCTTGTTTATAGAAAGAAGGGAAGTAAGCCCAGATCTGTGAAATCAAGGCTCCACCTGAGGCCAGGGTCTCAACAACTGGACTTCACCAGCAAGGATAAGGTGGACCTGGGGAGATGGCTCAGCTGGCAAAGAGCTTACATTACAAGCAGGGAGACCTGAGTTCAATGCCCCAAACCCATGTGATAAAGCACTGGGTGCAGGGAGCTACAGTCCCAGCACTGGAGAAGAGACAGGTATATCCAGGCTAGCTGGACCAGCAGCCTAGCGGAATAAGCAGGTTTCTGACCAATGAGAGAGCGTGGATCAATCCGCAGACACAGCCTGATGAAAGATAGCTAAGGTTGACCTATGACCTCCACACATCTGCACACATGTGTGCATATACACCCATGCACATGTGTACATCTCCTCCACACAAACATATACCACACACATGTACACACACACACACACACACACACACACACATACAAGAGAAAAATACATTGTATCACAACATTACAACTTGTATTTTCTGCTTCCACAAACACCAGAGCCAGGACGGGGGAGTGTGGCCTGTTTCACTCATCCCACTCACATCAGAAGGCCAGCATCCACGAATGACAGCCCTCTCTTAATCCCCTAGCTTAAATACCAGGGGCCCTTCCACGTTTGTCTTAAAAATGGAAGTTTTCCATCAGGTTTATAAGCTGTGGCATCCGTGGAATTCAGTAGACACAGAGTGAATTAGAAGCTGCCCTAATTCTACGCAAGTCCTCCCTGCTATTTTTATCTTTTTAAAGACAATGGAACGACATTGAAGAAAAGTTCCTGTGTGGAAAAAAGCTCCCAGCTCCCTCCTAACCCAGCCAGGTTCATTACTGAGCTGTGCCCTCCAGCCTGTCCAGGGCAGACAGTGGTTCACAGAACAGCAGATAGAGTATATGCTCCTGAAAACTCGAAATAAAATATCATTATAGGATAAATTTTTTTTTTTTTTTTGGATTTTTCAAGACAGGGTTTCTCCATAGCTTTTGGTTCCTGTCCTGGAACTAGCTCTTGTAGACCAGGCTGGCCTCGGACTCACAGAGATCCGCCTGCCTCTGCCTCCCGAGTGCTGGGATTAAAGGCGTGTGCCACCACCGCCCGGCTTACAGGATAAATTTTTAAATATTTTAAAATGCTGGCTTTGGTTGTTGACATTTGCAAAACCTCATTCTAGAGAAACCCGAGGGTTTCAGAGAACACTAGGCAGTGAGACTGCTGGGTAGCCTATGCCTGAGTCCCAGGCGACTAAGAATAGTTGCCCTAGTATCCTTTAATCCCAGCACTCGGGAGGCAGAGGTAGAGGCAGGCGGATCTCTGTGAGTTTGGGGACAGCCTGGTCTACAAGAGCTAGCTCCAGGACATGTTCCAAGGCTACAGAGAAATCCTGTCTCAAAAAACCAAAAAAAAAAAAAAAAGAGAGAGTATCAAATTCTTGTATTGATTGTATAAAAATGTTTGATTTTAAAAACTGCAGTTTGAGTAGCTGACTTGAGTTTTTAATTTTAATAAAAATTGTTAAATGAATTTTGGCTTAAGACCAGGACAGAATTTCCAACCATTTCTGAGATGACCTTAAGCATACTACATATTTATACAAAATGGCACTCTGAGCATTGACAGTTTCAAAACTAAAGTATCTATCAACTCTGAAAACCATTGGCAGTGTTCTGTGTTCTTCAGTATTGCTAAATGCTTAGCCAGGATTTAACTCTGTATGTAAAAATAAATAAGTACTTTCCTATCATTGGCATGCAAATTTTCTTCCATTGTTAATAAATTGTAAAAATGTTTTAAAAAAAAGAGAGAATGAGCGAGGAGGATGGAGAGTTACAACCTGGGGACCCCTAGAAATGAACGGTCCATGTGCACAGAGGACAGATTTCAGTGTGCACTGCTGTCTAGAGCCTAGTGTGCCAGCCTCTATGAGCAACTAGGGCTCAGCTTAAGACAGCCTGAGCAAGGCAAGGCTGATTAGACATCCTAGATCCACAGTCTGAAGGACTGCTTAGTCCTTAGAAAATAATAGAAAAGGACAAGGAGGTCTCAGTCCCTGGAAGACGAAAGGATAGAATAAGATATAGTCAGTTGTCTCAACAAAGCCCTGACTTATTTCTCATTTATACATTAAATCTAATTTGTCTCTACATCTTAGGGATTGATGATAGACAGACAGACAGACAGACAGACAGGCAAGCAGGCAGGCAGGCAGGCAGATAGACAGACATGATAGTTGGACAGACAGACAGACAGACAGACAGACAGATAGACATGATAGATGATAGATAGGCTGGACCAAAACATAGTCAGCACATAGAAATGTGGTCATTCTGCCTGGAATCTGCTTTTCTAAATGTGCCCATGCTGCCTTGGTCACGCCAACGTCATTGTCTACACTGTAGATATACACAGCTCATCAGCCCTGAGGTAGACTGGACTATAAGAGGCTCCAATATAAGAAGCCATAAGGAAGAAAGCTCCTGTCTATTATTAAACCACAGCACATTGTGCCTTCTAAGCAGGATAAGATTAAAATGTGACCTACAAAACCAACAAAACATGGCTATAAAACAAAGGCAGACACCAAGACATTTGCACAGACATCACCATTTCTTTATATTACAAACAGACCAACAAAACAGACGGCATTTTTTTTTTTTTTTTTGGTTTTTCGAGACAGGGTTTCTCTGTGGCTTTGGAGCCTGTCCTGGAACTAGCTCTTGTAGACCAGACTGGCCTCGAACTCCCAGAGATCTGCCTGCCTCTGCCTCCCGAGTGCTGGGATTAAAGGCGTGCGCCACCATCGCCCGGCTAACAGACGGCATTTAAAGCAGAATTCCAGAGAACCATTCATCCATCTGTGGCTGGACTGTCAACATGGGCAAAGTCCAAGGTCCAGCCAAGCAGGTTCTGCATGGGCTCAGTAAGCTCTGAGGAGGTAGCCCCAGGGATGCCCACCCTCGGGCCCAGGGAGGCCTGGGCAACCTCACACCTGTTTGGAGTCAGGAGTGCGCAGATTCAGGCTGGCGGTGGAGATGGTCAGGGAGATGCTCATCCCTGCGAACTGGAGGTTGCTCTTCCCCAGAATGTTGGACAGCATTTTATTCGGAGGCTGTGAAATCCAAGGGGGGAATTGATTAGCTTTAGATCCAGACTCTGACTGAAAGGGTCGAGGCAGAGATACCAGTATTTCTCACTGACTGCTCCTCCCCCACTGAAGTGCCAGAAGACAGACAAATGTAAAATGGGGGAGCTGGAAAGATAAGAGCCCTTGCCAATGTACACACTCAGTAATATGAGGTATGAAATCATAAGTGCCTAATATGTCAGTTCTGGGGAGAATTGCTGGTCTTCCTGGCTGCCTTGACCATATGCTGGTGTCTCCTGGGTCGTAGATGCAAACTTGCAGAGACCTCACAGCTTTGCCGACATGCAACCCTTGTCTCGGCACACCAGTGCTCAGACTGTCGCTTAGAGGAGTGAAAGCTGGATGGCACCGAGGCTCGGGAGCAACCTCAGAGGGTCCCGAGGCTCAGGAGCAACCTCAGAGGGTCCCGAGGCTCAGGAGCAACCTCAGAGGGTCCCAAGGCTCAGGAGCAACCTCAGAGGGTCCCGAGGCTCTCTCCTGAAGGGAATCTCTGTTAAGGGCTCACATGGGCGGTCCAATTAGAATCTGACTGCCTAGAGCCTGGGCAGGGTGAGAGAGAGAGGCTGCTGTGGCCAGTGTCTCCCTCACCTGTCAACAAAGTCCTTACAGAGACATGGAAGAGCTTCAGTGTCCAGCCAAGCACTGTCAGACCCCTGGGCACACACCGAACCCCTCTCCTGCTCACCCTTTCCGTTTGGTTACAACATCCTCTGCTCACTCTGCCAAACAGGCCCTGAGCAGAGGCACAGTCCTTTAATCCACTAGGAGACACAATGCAGCAGCTAAGGTTGTCTAAAGTGGAGCCAGGAAACAGGGAAGGTCACATCCCTCTGCTGAAGCTCAGACCACAGGATGTTCCTGTGCCTCAGATAAGAAGCCAAATCCAGACCTGCCGGCCTTGCACACCAACCTCTCAGTGGGGAGTAGCCTAGTTAATGGACCAATCAGAATAGATTTACAGTTTAGGGTGTCTGCCTAGCCAATGAACTGTCTTCAAAGATAGCATTTAATGGAAATTCTCTATTTTAAAAGAATAAATCTCTGCTGAACTTACCTCCAGGGGTTGCCCTGGTTTGGCATGCCCAAACTGCACACTTTGTTCCCCAGATAGATGCTGTTTCCTTTAGGATCCCTGCCATGACATTTTTCCTTTTTCTTTTTATTTAATACTTCAAAAGGACCCTTTAGAGAACCCATCTCCCTTGTGTGAGAGAGTCAGGTCAAGTGCATCTGGGCACAGCCTAGAAAGTTCTCATTACTTCCATCCCTTCCCACCAAGAGAAACATAAGGGGATCACAGACCTGTTAGGACCACCTGTTCTGAGAGACAATAGTCCTCCTTGCTGTTCCCAAGGGACACCTGGCCTCCTATATTCGAGATCTGGGAGCTTTACTTGGTTCCCAGGACCTGCAGGGGACTGGCCATCACATAACCTGAGCTGCCAAGTTCTGTGCCCCAGATCCAGTTGCCCTATAGGTTTACAAATGTCCCCAGTTCTGAAGACAGAAGTGACTTAGAGGCAAAACCATCTGGAACCTGAAAGCTCAGCCTGGAGCAGATACAGGGCCCTCTGTGGTATACTTTCCCACAAATCCCTTCTAGGTAGATAAAAGTCATGATTGTAGGTGGTGGGTTATTTATACTATTGCGTGTGTGCGCGCACACGTGTGCACAGATGTGTGCACACATGTAGAGATGGGAGGTCATCAGGAGTCTTCCCTAAAACTCTCTTCCTTATATTTGAAGACAGAGTCTCACAAAGAACCTGGAACATAGCAATTCCGCAACCCTGGCTAGCCAGTGAGGCGCCAGGATCGGCCTGTCTGTTTCTTCAGCACTGGGGTTACAGGCATGTACTGCCATGCCAGGCTTTTTACATGGATGCTGGAGATATAGACTCAGGTCTTTATGTTTATGCAACAAGCACTTTGTCAGCTGAGCTATCTCCCTAGCCCCCAGATATTTCCCCTCCTAATTCTACCATATACAGGATGGAAGGTTCCAGAAGCGTAGTTGAACACCCAGCCTCTGAAACAGGTTGACCATGGCCCCAGTTCCTATTCACATTGTGACTTCTCAGCCCAAAGCCTCAATTGTTGTCATCAATAACATCGGGCTTTCCAGTGGCATGGCTGAGCCAACTCAGGAAAGCCATTTGTCATGCCTTTAGAAATGTTCTGACCCCCAAGCCCAGCTATTACTGAAAGTTAACTTATATGAACTCACGACTACATAGATGGCACCTACAGATGGTGAAATACGTCTTGAGTCCTGGCTGTTTTACTACCTGGTCCCATGCTATGTGAACCTGCGCCGTCAGGTCCCATCTGCTGCACCTGAAGAAAATGCGACACAGTGACGAACTGCTGTGTGTCTTCCTCACTCTTTCCAGGAACCTTGTGTTGAAAGCTTGAACCACATGGACGTATTTACACCACAGTAACCGGCATCTTATAAATGCAAGGTCCTGCTTCCCCCTCCCAACCCCAAAATCCAGTTCTTAAGCATTAGCTAGCATGTACTACTGGGGTAGCTGCTACACGAGCTGTTAGAGGCAGATGAATTCATGTTATGTAATGGGCTTAAAGGGATGCTTGGTCAGGTGTTGATTGTTATCCCTGTCTCCAGGGTTTATCTACAGCATTTGCTTGAGAGAGACAGGGCAGGGATGCTTTAGCCTTAGCTAGGTGCTTTCCCTTAAGAAAGACAAGATCCAGGTCCTGTAAGAAGACAGGGGACAATTATGTGGGCGAAGACCTGGAGTGTGGCCCTGAAAGGACATGAAGGAGGAGGCAGACACATGGTGAGAGCCACAGTACCTTTCTCTTCTTGAAGGCTCCTTTGGCACCTGGCACAGCTTCGCAGACACGACTGATGGCTTCCCTGAGGGCAGGGAGAGATTCATTTTATTACATGCCAGTCAGAGTTATGCAACTCAGATTGTCTGCACTCAAAGGTCCAGAGGAAATAACTGCCTGCTTATTTTAGCATAGAAAATTGGCCCTCCAAGTACCTCTCCTCCAACAAGCAGAATTAAGCCAAGCACCGGCAGGTTATCTTAAAACTTTTTGCCATATCCTGCCTCTTTCTTAGTGTGGTGACACCATGATCAATGCCACGTTTCCTTTTTCTCTTACAATTAACTAAGATTTCATATTCAAAATCAGCACCGGATATGCACTCTCCCTAATGTGATTTTCATTAGGTCAATCACTGTGCCTTTAGAAATGTCCTAACATGGTCAGAGCACCAGGATCAAGCCTATCCAGCCATTGCAGCTCACAGAGATCCTTCTGAAGCAGATTCAAAGGTCTGGAGGAAGCATGGTGCTCATTGTTTGACTCCTAGCTTCTGCAGTTTTAAACACAGCCAGCAAGCTGGGGCTATAGCTTACTAGTGGAGTGCTTGGCCAACCCTTCTAAAGCCCCAGCCCCGCATACAAGCAGGCTTGGTAGCACATGCCAATAATCCTAGCACTCTGGAGTTAGGAACAGGAAGGCCAGAGGTTCGAGGTCATCTTCACCTAAATGGTGAGTGTGAGACCAGCCTGGGCTACATGAGACCATGTCTCAAAACGTAAAAATAAATAAATAGTATATCACTCAGCTTAGGCTTTTCTGGCTTTATGGTAGTGTGAAGGTGATTCATATTCAGTAGAAATCATACTTTGAATTTTTTATTGTAACTTTTTCTAAAGTTTCTAGTTCTAAAATATTTTATTTTTGGTAAATATGCATTCAGATCATGGTATGTAATCAACATATATCCCATAACATGCACGTATCAAGTCCAGCCTTTCTTGATCCATCTTCATGTATCCTACACACCCACACCCACCCCCACATCTTCCCTAACCTCTGGTAATCACTTAAGTCCACTGTTTTCAGCTTCTGCATATGAGAAAGTAGTACATGGCACTTGTGTTTCTGAGTCAGGCTCACTTTGTTTACCATAATTTCCTCTGATTCCATCCACAGGACCTTCTCTGAGTGCTGGACATCTGCAGCAACCCTCAGCTCCAAGCCAGCACCATGATCAGCAGCAGAAACCACCGACACTAAAGTCCTCTGCTGCTAAACTAGCATGTTCTAGCACATTCTATAAGTTCAGGATTTTCCACAATAATTTTGTTTGCAGTAGGTTTAAACGTCAAGGAACTGCTGTATTTAAAAATCCAGAGAACTGAAGAGGAGTTAAGGAACTCCATGACACGAGGGTGAGACTGTGTGCAGGTCGGATGCACAAGACACTGTCTCTTGAGCAGTTCTACATGCCAGGCTTTGTCCTGAGTCAAGGGATAGGGGACACTCATAGCGTCCATCCCAGTTTGGCAGGAGTCTCATGCACGGGTCTTAACCTATGGGGACTGGAGAATTTGAAATAAAGAAGAGTCTAGACAAGGAGGCTATGTAGGTTCCCACGCAGGTATGGCAAGCTACGAAGGCAACTCCAATGACCTTGAAGCTACGAAGGCAACTCCAATGACCTTGAAGGCACCCACAGCTCAACACTGCAACTCACTTTCAATGAAAACCACTGGGAGAAGGGCTGAAGGTGACCTCAAGTTAGGAATGCCTAAAGAAGCTGGGAAAACTTCTCAACTCCCACATAAAGAGGGAGAAAATATTGCAGGAACATGGGAAAAAAAATAAACAGGGCCAAGAGATAGGCTGGGTGAGCATGAAGACAATGGCTCCTGAGAGACAGACAGAGAGACAGCTTCCCCAGTGGACTACTCCTCACGGTTAATGAAAAATTAATTGTTGAAAAATAATCACAATCACAATGCAACTGCATTGCGTTAGATATCCTTGCCAAATTAGGGCAGCGACCACGGAGGCGAGCTTCATGTTTGCCATTCAATGCATTGTGGAGAGAGGGAAGGAAAATGGGTTTTTGACGGTTCAGGCGCCAGGAAGCCTGCACAGAATGAGTCATCCTGACCTGGAAAACTGAAGCCAGAGCAGATGTTTGGGATGACAACGCTGCTCTGATTTATTGTATAATAGCCATCTAACAGCGCTGCTACCAAAGCAATCAAATATGTGCCATCTAAAATCTGCTAAAAGCAAAGCCCTCGTTTGCTTTCAGAACATGAATGTGCTGTCCTTTCGAACTAATGAGTTAATCTGTGTGTGTATGTGTCTACATGTATATGAATGCACACACTCCTGTGTACATGCAGAGGCCTGAGAATGGTGCTAGGGGTCCTATTCTGTAACTCTTCCCCTAATTCCTTTGATGCAAAGTCTCTCACTGAATCTGCAACGAGGCTGGCAGCCAGTAAGACACAGAAATCCTCCTTCCTCCACACTTCCCCCTACAGCAAAGGTGTTACAGGCATGTGCAAACAAGCCTGGTTTTGTTTAACAAGTGCTGAGGATTTGAACTCAGGTCCTCATGTCTGCACATGAGTCATATCTGCTGAGTCATTTCCCCAGCACCTATGCTGTCTTTTATAGAAGTCTCAATATCTGTTTTACCTGTTTAATATTTTAAGGCAAGTTTTATTTTTAACTGTGTGTATATAGGTGATGGGAATGTGTGCCTATGTGAGTGCAGTGCCCTCAACGGCCAGAAGAGGGCAACTGGATCCTCAAGAGTTGGAGTTAGAGGTGGTTGTGAGCTACCCAGTGTGAGTTTTGGGAACCAAATTTGTGTCCTCTGCAAGAGAAGGATGTGCTTTTACCCACTGAGCCATCTCCCCACTACCATTCCTAGTCAATTTTGCATGATTATGTGGATGCATATGGAGGCCTGAAGTTAACCTTTGGGTGTTGTTACTCAAGACACTGCCTACCTTGTTTTCTGGGACAGGGTCTCTCACTGGCCTGAAATGTACTAATTCTGAAGACTGACTGGTTAATAAACCCCAGACACGCTCCTGACTTCACCTCCCCAACACTGAGACTACAAACATGGGCCACCATGCCTAATTGGTTTTATTTATTTAGTTTCGATTTTATGTGAGCATATGTTTATATGAGTGTGTGTATGTATAACACATGTGTATAGGCCAGAAAAAGCTGTCAAATCACCTAGAACTTCTGCATTATATTTGTTAAGTCAAGAGATGGCCTTAGCCCAACAAAGTAGCCAAATCTTTGATGGTCTCAACAAGCTAAAGAGATGATATGTACAGAACACCTTACCTTGGTCATTCTTTTAACAACCTCAATGATTCCTAGATTTTTGTGCCCACCAACATAGAACAACATAGGAAGTCAAGAGTTTTACAAACAGTTCTCCAAAAGGACTCCCACTATCAGAAATCTAACCTAGTCAGCTCTGAGCCATTTGCAACTGGTTTCTACTCCAGGGAGAGGCAGGAGGAGTTCAGTTTTCAGAAGACAGGGAACAGCCTGACACATTACAGACAGAAAGTCCTCTCAGGGAGACCCATGATGTTCCCAGAGCACAGTCACAAGCACAGTCACCATATAACTCTTCCTGAGCTCACACTCTCCAAGTGAGCCCCAAGGATACCCCTGTGAGCTCTCAGAATTTTCTGAGATCTTCAAATCAACATGCTTTTCAGAAAAAAATGTGCTGCCATAGAATGGCCACAGATCTGTTTCTAATGTTCATGTGGTCACATGTGACCAGTCCTTACTTCAACCAGAGATGGTGTCTATTTCTGCTTGAAACAGAAATGACACACCATTAAAAGCAGCAATATTTAGATGTCTGCAATTAGTTACTTTAACTCCAAGGTCTAATTTTAAATGTTGCTATTCTCAATTTCCTTCCTGCATGTTTTAGTGAGGAGTACTGTCTCAATTTGCTCATTTAGCAATAACTTAGTTTGGTATAATTTCATTTAATTCCTTTTTGGAACCCAGGTACCAATTTTGCTATTTTTTTAATAATAGAGATTGCTTCTTAGCATTCCACTCAGTACAACTCCATTTCGAGAAGCTAAATCCTGACCTCAGCGCTCCACTAATATGAAAATGGAACATTTGGCAAACACAGCAGTCATCTGAAAGCGACCAGGGACAGCCCTGCCAAAATTCTAACCTTGGGTTTACGATGGCACTGTGCTCCTCCACCCAGGTCTGCACCCTCATCCATAGGGCAGATATCTCTCACAACTGAAGCTTATTCTTGCCAGTGCAGAACTTTAGGACTAGACTTTGCACAAACGTTCACAGCAGGTGTGCATATTTGCACCCACATGTATAACAGGCACGTGTGCATGCTTGCACAGACACTTTTCAGAGTGAAACAATAAAAAAAATAACAGTAGAACCGTAGGATAATTTATTCCCCATTCAAATTATACTTAATTAGGGGAAAGAGCAACAAAAATGAACTATATAGAGCACTAAGTTTAAGTTCACACACACAAAGTGATAAATAGCTACTCAGGGGAAAACAGTTTCTAGTGCATGCCTCAAATGTAAATTAATTCTTGGTGTATCACAAACAGAAGCTATTGTGATTTTAAATAACAAAAGTATTCAAGAAACTCAGGAAGAATTATTTTTAATGATCTTTGAATAGAAGGTTGATATGAGAGGGATATATCATAAAGGAAATACTAATGCAAACAATAGCATCAAAACAAAAATGTAGGCAAGTCAAGAGACAATCATCTCAAAATAAGTCAGAAAGAAAACCATCATAAGCCCAGCGGACAAAGCTAAGACTACAGACAGAGGCATTTCAGGCAAGGAATGACAAATGGGTCCTGAAAACATGGGAAGCTTCTCAACCTGATCTCTTTGGTTGTGCACGTGCCGAGTCATCAAGTTCCACAAGTAGGGCAGAGAGGTGGGTGTCATAGCTGTGAATGATGTGAGTGGTCACAGCAGGAACCTAAACTCAGAGAGCCATGGATGCATCTCCATAAAAACCCCCGGGGTGAGAAAGAAGAGAGG